TTCGAACACCGCTGTCTACGCAGCATTGCACGAATGTGGTGGGGTAGCCGGATGAGCAATGCTGAGGTTAGACGCAGAGTTTTGGGTAAATACGGTCGCCCACTGGAGCAAGTGGTCGACCTCCATAGATTACGTTGGCTGGGACATGCGTTACGCATGTCACGAGATAGGTTGTCACGGCGAGCGATGTTCACCGAAGCGGACACTGAGTGGAAAAATGCCAAGGGTGGTCAAGCTAAGGGTATGAAAACCCTAACCAGGAGACTGGGTCACAAAGGTCCTGTTGGGCTCCCTGGTTGGGGACCTCGGGATGATCGTAACCGACGGTTAGAGACACTGAGCGATATGGCTGGGTGTCGTAAACAGTGGCGTTCGTGCATCTTCTCAATTTAATGGTTAATGGTTGTTCAAACTGAACTGAAACTGATTAGAAGTCCTGGAACAACATCTATCAACAGCCAATGCAAACTGTTTTCCCGAAGCACAATTAATTTCTTGTTCAGTAGCACGTGCAGAGCGGTCACTTCCTCCGAAACGATCATCAAGAATCAGGTTATACCTGACTCCTTTCAATATATTTCAGAAAAATGAAATAACGCACAAGCTTCTTTTCGACAACTCTATACTTATGTTTGAAATGGTATAATGATAATTATCGGTTGTTCGGTAAGGGATATGAATTTAGATAAGAAGTGAGTTTCCGAGAATAGCATCACACTTCAATGCTGTCGGAGGCCAGCATTTGATTAAAAACCTTAATTTTTTATACCAATAACTTCTACTGGAGGAGTCGACTCCACAGATCTCACAACGAACCATTGAGATTGGGATTGTGGTCGGTGTCCCCCAGCACTTTTTGGCCTCCTTGTTCGAGGTTGCATCTCTTGTTTTTTTCATATTCAAGTGCAACTTGTAGGACTAAATGGTTGTTTTAGAGAAGCCAGTTGACAGCCGTTTGACCTATTCACGTATGCTTGAGGGCATTAGTCGGTAGTTTGAAGGGGACAACGGACGACAAGTTCACTAATGACGGGTTGCATTGGCCAAGTCACAGTACAGTCACCAAACTCAGGTGACGTTTTGAAACGAGGTTGCTTGCCTCGTAAAAAACCCCGTGTTCCCGATCGTCTAACTCTTGAGCCCGCGGCCGTGCCACTCACGATTAGGACGGCCACCGATTTGGTGACCGTTCCCATATACGCGACTTGGCGATACACAAATTAGAGAGCAGTTTCGTGCCTAGAATACGCGGTTACTACGTGCTTTTTTATCCTACTTCAAGCACAGCAGACAACAATAGTCTCACAGACAGAAAACGCTGAGAATTGGGGTGGGTACTGGTAACTTGCCTACTTGTTTCATCATCTCATTTTCTGAATGTCCCTCTCAACAGCGAACACTTCCGCGGAGCGAACAATCTTGGTCAGCCTCAACAATGTTTGTTTTCCGGGAGGGGGGGGGCAATTTATAAGACTTGTGGGAGCATGATTGGGAATCACTGAAAAACAAAGGTTTGTTTTGATTTTTCAGTCACGTCAACAGCAATATAACAACGAGAATACCGATAACTGATGCTGGGACACCCTAGAAGATTGCAAGTTCTTCGGTGAAAACATGAAACCGGATACGGGGCAGACCTATGAATAATACCACCCGATGCTCACTGCATGATCTAGTTCTGGAAGATGATAGATACTGTATTACAATTCCGAGGCACAAATTGACCCACTAGCATTATTCCCACGATTCAATTGTTTTTACAGCAAGGCGTTGAGAAACCCTAACAGAAATAACACATTAAACCGGGACATGTCCAAGGCCACAGAAAACTGCACTATTTGCGAAGTAAGAACTCAAACCACACGGGAATTCGGTCGGAGAGAACAGATCGATGAGGAATGAGAACCACAATTCAGAAAGCATACGATCTGTACGCTGGCGAAACAGTTGGTGGTAACCGTCGATCACTATTCTTCACGTGAGAGTACAAGAAAACAAGCACCAACAAGTCAAAAAAACTGAGTAGAATTTACTTCCAATGGTGTTTCCAGGCGTGAAAATAAGCAGAAACCGGTTTAGCCAAACAGCGTAGAAAGAATGTGTATGCGTGTTATCCCATCATATGCGGGATATTTTGTGGATAGGGACAATTTGTTTCCCGCCCTACTGTGTATTTGTGTGCATTCGGCATCAATGTGCGCACGCACGCACGCACGCACGTACAGATGTATCCGTTCGATAGAGCCTGAACAATCAAGAGAGCAGTGTGGCTGGATGGAGAACAGGATAAGGAGAAAGGGGCTGGATGAAACGGTGGACGGGATGGATCACGAGCCTAACAAGCCAGAACTGGATTCAACAGTCTCAACTGAGAAAAATAAAAGTCAAAGGCTACATACACACTTGCCACAGGAGAGAAGACAGGAAGAATAACAAAAAAAGAGAACGGATCGTAGAATGCATACACATACAAGTGTGCGTGCATTTGTCTGTGAACTCGCATGCACAGGAGTATTTCCGTTTCTAACGGGTGTCGATAAGTGGTGCCGGGGAATGGGATCGCATTACACCCACAGCGTCCTCATCCTGTCCAGTCTTGCCGTTTGCTAAATCGATATCATTGACCTGTGTGGAGCCTTGTGAACCGGNCTTTTGCGAGGTGCTGACCTGAAACGTGAGAGGGAAATAGAGAAAGATGCAACGGGATGTAATCTCCTGTGACATTGTTTTTCAGTGCCTCAGGAAACTGATTGTTCCAAATAACCTGATTGCTTGCATGCTTCCACAGATTTTTATTAAACATATTTGTGTGGTGAACAGAAGATGGGGCGAACCCCGGAGTCACGAAGACCTGCTGCTCCGTCATGGAAACCGGTAACCTGAGTCCCGGAACTTGAGGTGGCGAACCACAAAAGGCCCCACACTGGTTATACTGTTCCCTGCTATTTATTCCTAGGTGTTTTCTCATGTTCCCACATGTTTTTTTCCGGATAGAATGGAAATGCTAATCCCCCCTCCCTAGTATTCGGACGATTGTGATACGGTTATTGACAAGATGACATGTGATCAAGGGCACTGTCTGTATTCCGGTATCGTGACGTGTTAGATCATCGAACTCGCTAGAAATATCAGCCCCTTTCTGCAGCTGGGCCTTCAAAATTCGGCAGTGCTACAATTGTGTTCCAGAGGATAATTTATCAACGTTTATGTCACGCACCGGATTTAATTGTTAGAACCGAATTTCTTTCATCATTCTTATGATTACCTACGCCTCGGAATCTTTAAAGACTTTAAAACCTTAAGTGGTATCGCGTCAGAGTGGCATTCTTTATCAGTTCAGTCGCCAAGTTAAAAATAGATACAGAATAGATACAGACCGTCAAGATCAGGTTTCCTCAAAAAGCACCGAACTGGCTGACAAGTGGCTCTACGCAATCCAAAAACCCAGAAAATATCTGCACCCGCAGGTTTCTCATCAAACATACTACTACCACTTGGAATAACGAGTGGTCCCACGAAATTGATAAAGATGAAAAAATATCATGCATTGGAGATAATGATGCTGTAGGAAACTTGGTTGCATCCTGATATCAACGACTCCTGGATTGGGCTGCATCTCTTTAATATGCACCGGTTGGATTTAAACTGTTTACTACGAAATCGTGGTGGAGGTCTAATAACGTACAACAAATGTTCTTGGTGTAGGGTTACAATGACTATCTTCACCTGCAATGTGAATCACATTTCATCTATTTCGGTGGGATTTTAACCCCGTTGATTAGTGGATATCGTTTCATCGCAGCACCAAACAGTTAGATAGAGCCCTCCGGTGCAGTTTCTGACGTACAGACGTTTGCTAATTTATTCATATCCGAACTTTCTAACTGCACTGAACGCTCTCTTTTTATCGTTAGCGGTTATTTTAACCGTGCCCATGTTTATTTCTTGATCTGCCATTCTCTTCCCAATCTTGTAAACTTCTCCACAAGAGGAAACACGCAGCTTGACCGTTTTCGAACGATTCTGACCTGTTTGTTCGAAGAGGATCCTCTCTGGCAAACTCCGAACACTGTATGATAAATGTTTTGCTAAACGTTTGCCCGAGGAACCATGATGGTGTACTGACCCGTACATCCAAAAGGAATATTCCTCATAGGCTGTGCTACACAACACATTTAGCATCAGAGAGAAATGATATCTGGTGCAAATATTGATCAGTGTTTTGGTTGAGTGTGTACATCTCACTGGCTATTTGAATTTCTGCACTGATCTCTGCTGCCCTGTGGCCCCTATGTACACTAGCCGAACAAAATTTTCTTCTCCCAATTTGAAGACCCTCAGAAGAATCACAGAACGTTCATATAAAATCGTGACCGAGCTTTAGTTAAACAAACAAGACTGAGATCCAAAACCTTGACAGACTCTATACTGAAACCCTGCTGGGTGAACCGAATCGCACATAAATCTGGAGTCCAACAAAGAACTATGTGGAACAAAAGTCAGGCTACACGGGCCTCAATCCACAACGACTGAACTAAACTGCATGTTTTCCGCGTCAACTCAAACGGAAGTATCGGAACCGTATTTCAAATCTACTGACTGTCGTGAGGTTTTGCATGTCAATTCTAATCAGGTGCGGGAACACCTGATGTGCCTCAGAACATAAAAATCTTCCGGTCCCGACGGACTGTGTCTTGTTGTCCTCAAGGAATGTGCGTATTATCCGGTTGAGCCACTTGTCCGTTTTTAATTGTTGTTTCCAGAAGAGAAAAATTGCCAACTGTTGGAGACCAGCGTAGTTCACGCCGGTCCCAAAAAAAGTAAAAAGCCAAATTTCGACTAACTGCCTGCATTTCCGTTTTACTACAGATTTTTGAAAAGTTTATGCTTAATAACATTATCCTTCACACTGGGCAGTTGGATCACGAGAAATTATTCAAATTTTCTTGTTAATGCATTTTAATATAAATTTGATTGTAATACCTTGAAAAGGAAATAACCGGAAACACACGATTGCCTATACAAATGTTCTGATTTATGAATATACAGTATGATGCAAAAATTTCCTTTTTCTAGAATTTTGTAGCGGACGTATTCTAAAAATACTTTGGTCAAAAATAGTGCAATACGGTACTATAATAGCCAGTACAAAACCGTGTCTGTTCCGTCGATTTGATACACTTGACGCTGTTTCACATTGTGCATAACAATCTGAAATGTGCGCGCGACCACTGCGTGTGTACGGAAAATAATGTACGAATGTGACGAGAAAGCCGGACAGAACGGGTAGAAGTCAGGAGTGGGATTTGCGGTCGGACGAAAGTGGAGTATTAATTGCACATTGTACTTAATGGGACGTATTTTACATACACGTCCAAAAACCTTTCGTGTTTAACTGAACGCTAACACGCCAACCAATTGACGAAGTGGTAGATGCGATTGGTTTAGCTGACTACAGTGCCTGTATGAGGGATGATCAGAAGTTTTACGATAGGTTTAAAGTTTTAAAGTTTCAGTCTAGTTTACTCCCTGTGTGACACATAAGAACGGAGGTCAATGCCTGTAATAATAATAACAAGACTCGCTGTACCTTCAGCAACAATTACCCATTTTGTAAAGCACTTCGTGTGAAGACCAACAAACAGCACTGGACAGAGATTCCGCTTGTCAAAACTCATCTGCATTAGGCACTACCTGTGTGCCAACAGAGTTTCGGTGTTTACAACCATTAATCAGGTACTTTTGTGCACAGGTTTTGGTTGATGTTTCATGACTGTCCATTTGGATGCAGGAGTAAAGAAAAGATTGGAATGTTCATAGCAGTGTCACAGCGAACAAAGTTATGACGAAAACGGTGGCAAAAACATGGAGTAGATGCCAGGGCGCCACTATTTACGACAGCCATATCGCTCAGTGTCTTTAGTCATTGATTACAATGATCCCCATGTCTCCATCCAGTAAACCTAAAGCAATCTTCGTGAGTAAGTCTTCTGCTCNCCCTTGACTTTCTTCCACCCATCACCTGCCTCAGCAAATAACGCACAGCGTGACAGCCGATTAGGTGACATGTGTAACACATCTGGTTATCACCTCTGTCCCCACAGAACATTACTGACAAACTGTATCACAAATGTGAGGATTAACTGAGCTCCCATGGAGTGAGACCCACACAAGAACAGCAATATACAGAGTTTGTTTGTGAATTCGGATGGAAAACAAAGAAGACTTTAAAAACAACTTCTGGGATTATTTTGATGTCCGAATTTATCAGATGGAGTGATTGAAAGAAACTCACTAGACCAGATGCAACGTGACGATCTGCATGAGATCAACCTGAAGAACTTTGTGCTAGGTCAATCAGTTATCAACAAAAAAAACACCTTAAGACAACTTACCTTTTCGCCCATGGTCACAGCCATCCCCTGTGTTTTTGCGCGAATTCGTACATGTCCGGTTACAGGCTGATCTGGTTCGGTTTTTTCCAGACACAAGTTGGCCAGCACATGCTCACCGAAAATGGTTCGCGCGTATAAAGTGACACACAAATAGTCGCATTCTCCTTGTAGCGCTTCCATTGGTGTGAGGCAACGTAAATTGGTGTGTTTTGTGATGTGAGCCAAATAAGCGAACAGATCTCGAATCTGCGTATTGACTGTCACCTAAAGCAAAGAAGAAAAATGGCCGCGGTCAACGCAAATGGAATAAAACTCCATTGACCGGTCAAGTAAGGGCTCTTTGGGCTAATTTGAGAAATCATTACTACCAAGCAAAGTCATGAAGTTCTTGTTTGACGTGTAAGCATAAGTTCGTTTAGTGGATCACGTTTCCTGAACCTAAGTGATCTTAGTACCAGCTCGAACTCTCACTGAAGAGAAAAGTACAATTTCAAGGATACCACGATGACCTTTTTGAGAACCGATTAGTGTTATTGGTTTACACGACATTCAGATGATATTACGATCAAGTAGGAAAACATTTGTTCAGCTACTAAACAAATCATTTAGCTCCGTTGTCAAAAAAATTCAATTACCGATCTGAAAATTTCAGGATACTGGATGAAATCCCGATTTGCGATCGCATAGATTTCGAATGAACAATCTTCTACACATTCAACTCAGTGTCCCCGAGACCAGCGGTGGACCAAGTCAGCCAGTTCAGATTAGAAACAAAAGCAGCGGACCGGTAGATGGCGAAAGTGAACAGAAACCTTAGAACCAGTAGTGTGCAGTAGTGTACATATACAAATAAGGACTATGTTGACCCTAAATGGAATTCCTGAACCAACCTATTGGACTCATTCATCTGGTCAGGAATATCGTGTTATCATCTCCAGTCGTGGAAAAGCCACCAATACAGTTCTTCAAACACAGACACTCCTTTTGTACACCCACCATTTCTATCTTCCTCGATCTCAAAGCAGCCAAAAGATCGCAACCAAAACCGGTGCACGAAAGTGTATGGTTGTAAAAACTTAAACTGAACTTCGAACCTCTACTTGCCTCGACGAACATCAAAGGCCGACGATTTCTGTGCGAACAGATACGGGACACCTTCAAATAAGTTACGGAAATTGTCAGCGACAATCTCATTTTCTCGGTTCAAAATATTAGCAACATATGACAAAGTTCTTAATATTCAGACTGCTAATCAAAATTACAGTACGAGAATGTTTGTAACAAATTAGTTTCAGTTTCAGTTTTTACAGGCATTAACCATCCACTTTCGTGAGCCTGTTTCGGTTGCTGCACTTTGGTTGCACATTTTGAGTAAAGAGTAGAATGAAGACTGGAACGTTAACAGCAACGTCAAAGAGAAGATAAAGAGTTCATATGGACTTTGGTTGCAAGCAGATGCAGGAGCGCCACTGCTTGCGACACTCAGCAATATCAGCCAGTGTCTCTAACCACCAGTTACCATGAATTCGAGATCCTCATCCAGGAAGCTTAAGGCGGCTTACGTGAGTAAATCTCCCACTTGGGGTTTTCACACCCCCATGCCAGATCTTAGTTTGACCGCCCTTGGTTGTTTTCCATCCGCCGCCTGCCTCAGAAAACATTGCGCGCCTTGGCAATCTACTTGGTGACATGCGCAACACACCGTAGTCTATGGAAGTCAACCACTTGCACCAGTGAACGACCGCGATTAATTAAAACCCGGTGACTAACCTCAGCATTGCTTGTCCGGTTTCCACACCAGACTCGTTCAACGCGATGTAGACACCGGTGTTCGAATACCGATAATCTATTTTTATCCTGTTCCCGTAAGGGCCACGTCTCTGCACCGTAGAGCAGGATCGAACGCGAGAAACCCACAATATGTATTTCACATTTGAGTAACTTTCTAGATTAACGCTCAATGGTCATAGAGTCCTTCGACTCCTGGTTGAACTGAGGCGATCGTTAAGTTCCGTTTCGAAGGCCGACAGGCAATTACTGTTGACAATGTATTGGATCCGTTCCCGGTGACCCTTNNGACCCTTTTGCGGTTGTGTACCAGACGTAGATAGAATCTGTCTCTTAGCAGGGTATGATCCATGTCCACGGGTGTTGATCAGTAGGAGCGGTAGTCATCAATGGATCCTCGTAAGCGGTATCTGATAACAAAGTTGTTGATTCCAGTCTATCGCTGTGAAGTGGTAGGTGGTTTCCATGTAAAACGGTGTCATTTCTTGTGGAAAAAGTTGGTGCTTGGCTGGAACAGTCCGTGGCTAGTGCAAAGGTGGAGAAGACGTTTCTCCGATATCCATCCGGTTGGCTAGGATTGCATGCGAGCCGCCTAAGCACCATTCTGACTAGTTCAGGTATCCCACTGAAGCTCTGAAGTATCCAGCGACTACAACGATACCGGTCGAAGGAGCACTTTGGAGCAGTAGATATATATTGTTTTATAACTCATTTCTGAAGAACTTCAATCAGTCCGTACTGAACCATCCAGGTGGTCGGCTACTGACTGGAATCCAGTCCAGAAGCGAGGGCTTAGTCTTGGCACTTAGAATAATCCCGGCACCAGTAACACAGCAAGCTTCGGATGCCAAATCGCCTGACACACGGACAGTGAAACGTGAGGATGTTGGATCTGGAGACCGTAAGGTGATNATTGAAGTGGGGTCTTGTATGCGTGTTTCGGAGATCCATCAAAAGTTTCTAACGAAGGGAGCTTGTTGACCGATATTTGTATAACAGTGTGAGTTAAAGCAAAAGGGGAAATCCGCATAGACAAAAAGCATACTGTAAAAGGGAGAGTAGAGGATCATTCACGTAGGATCCAGTTTATGGATTCTGTGATTTGATAGTGTGCGGAAGCTGAAAGCAGCCAAGTGAAACGGCGATTTTGGTTTTATCAAAGACAGCTTTTTGTTGGTTGACCTTACTGGTTAAACACTGAGTGATATCCCAGGGCGTGGAAAGGGAAAGGGGGAACTAGACAAAAAGAGGGTTATCCAAACGGGTGCCTGAGACTTTAAGGCGCGATTAACTTCGCCTTGGCCCACATTAATGAAGGGTTTATGTTTTGGGAACCTTAACCGTAGTCTTTGACTCAAAAGTCTGATGCACAGTACAGTGGAGCGTAGATCAAACGCGGGAGCGTGATCGAGGCGTTCACATGAGAATTTCTAGAGACCTATCAAGCAAGGCCTTCGGGTTTCGGTTAAATGTGTTCTTCGCTGGTGCGTTGATTGTCGGTCCGCTGTTCGGGATGGCCCCTTAGTCTCATGCACCCAAGCGGAACGTGGACGGGGGACTGGGAGCTTCCCAGCAGGGGAAGGCGGTAGCTGTTCAATGAAATGCGAAGACTTCTCCCACCTTCGGAAGGAAGCCCCAGGTACCTCGCTTCTACTTTCATCTACCAGTGGTTTGGATTGGTAAACTGCATCACCCTGTTTGTTCGCTGGTGCGACCGCTCCAGGATTGAGAGTGGATGGTCAGAGGGAGCCAGGTGTCCAAGCAGATGGTCTTGTGAGACTGAGCTTTGTCTGGTCTCTACTCACTCACCTTCTAGGTACGGTTGGATCTGTGGCTGCGAAAGGCAATCCTGTGTAGCTCGCAAGGTTAGGCGGGCATGCAAACCATCACACCACGTGAGGGTGCAGTCTCGTAACAAATTAATCCATCCACGATTTGCTCGTGGACTCGATGTCACCAGATTGCCCAAACCAAAGCTCACGTCCAGGGCTTCGGGTTAGCAAGGCTGTTTCCGAAGAAAACATTTTAGGGGCTTTATCATCCCAAAATTGCTAATGTAAACAACTGGTTGGCAAGATATCCCACCACGAACAACTAAAAATAAAACAGAGAGCTGCAGCTGAAACTCAAATCGGAAAACCGTTTTCAAGTGTACTGAACGATACCATATGAGAGGTAAACGTGAGAGGGTACAAAAACAACTCACCTTGTTTTCCCATTCGAAATCAGACCACATTTGACGAAATTCAGCAGGGGAACAGGTAGCCGGCAGTATATACTCCATGATATCAATGTGGATATCATTAAGCACGATGCAAGTAGTCTCACCGGCTGAACCCCGTACATCATACGATATGTTGCCAAAAATAATTCCGTTCTCCGTGGAAGAAACCTATGGGCAGAGAATAAGCGTATGCCGACGTAAGAGGACGAAAAACGATAGGGACGTTTGGCACATTCTGCCAAAAATCGAATGTTGGAATACAGAAACACACCTCATTCGGTCTGGCTATTTATAGATTGTTTTCAAATTAAAGAAATTTAAATTAAAACTTGTACACAATAACCTATTTCCCAACGGTTTGATGAATCAAACAACCTTTTCATCGGTGAACCGA